TTCAAAACTCATGTGGAAATTTGATCTCCAATGTGGCAGTGTTGGAAACTGATTGAGTCATGGGAGTGAATCCCTCATGAGTGGATTCATGCTCTCCCTGGGAGAGGAGGGATTAATGAGTGAGTTCTCGCTCTGTTAGTTCCCGCGAGAGCTCGTTGCTTAAAAAGACCCTGGCACCTTCCCGCTCTCTCTTGCTTCCTCTCGCCATGTGATCTGCTTGTACCTGCTGGCTGCTACTTTCCGCCACGAGTAGAAGCAGCCTGAGGCCCATGCCAGATGCAGCCATCCCAGAATCATAAGCCAAATAAAATTCTTTCCTTTATAAACTATCCAGTCTCAGGTAATTCTGTTATAGCAACACAAAACGGACTAATACATACACACAATACTACAGTGAACATTCTTATATATCTCTCCTTGTATAAGTATATAAATTGTTCTCTAAGTTGTACTCCTAAAGGTAGACCTAAAGGGTCATGAGGTTTTACACAACTTTACCTTTACTGTATATTGCCAAATTATGCTCCGAAGTGCTTCTACCAATTTCCCTTCTCACTAGCAGTGTCTGAGAGTTTCTGGAGTTCCAGGTACTTGCCCATGCTAGTTTCTGTCAGGTTCTTTTCTTTTTAAATTTTTGTTCATTTCATGAGTATGAAATTATATCTCATTGTGGTTTTAATTTGCATATCCTTACTTTGTAATGTGGTTGAACATAGTTGATGGTTATGGTTCATTTGGGTTGCTCCTCTGCGAATTTCCTTATCATAATTTATATTAATTGTTTGCCTTATAATTATTGATGTATTAGGAGTTTCTTCTATTTTCTGTACACTAATCCTTTGTCAGATAAGAGTTGCAAATATCTTCTCAATCTGTCACTTGTCTTTATAGTGTTTTTATTATACAGAAATTTTTAAGTTTAATAGAGAAAAATATATCTTCTTTTATGGGTTCGGCTTTTGCATCCTTAAGAAATTCTTCCTTACCATGGGGATCATAGATATTTACTTATAAAAATTATAAAGTTTTGCTTTTCATTTATTGTCAGTTCACTTAGAATTAATTTTTTATGGACCTACTTTTTCCTCCTGTAGATACCTGATTATACCAATACCACTTATTGAATGATCTGTCCTTTTCCCATTAGCAGTTGCCACGTCACCTCTGTCACGTACCAGATATTCCTATGTGCTGCTTGGGTCTGTTTCTAAGACTTTTGCTCTATTGGTCTATTTGTCTGTGCCTGTAGCAATACTGCCTTAATTTTGATGTCTGGTAGGGCGAGCCCTCCTTCCTTCCCCCATTCAGCATTGTTGGTATTCTTCAGCAATGTCCTGGCTATTCTTGGCCTTACATAAATTTTATAGGGAATTTAATTTAAAAAAAAATATATATATATATATATAATGAATATGGAAATTAAAGTTCTTTTTAAAAAACCCTGCTGGGATTTTGATTGAAATTGCATTGCATTTATGAATTAAATTGGATGTACCTAATTTCAAAATTAAAATGTTTGAGTGCTTAAAAGAATAAATTCCTAGTTTTTTGCAAAAATAATTTGTCAAGAACAGCCAAATCTCCGAGGGTCCTGAATAGTCAAGGTTTTATTATATTTACATAAAGAAAAGCACAGCATTAAAAATGTTCATTTATATATTAAGGTAATTCAGAAAATTAAATATTTAAGCATCTTTAGTTCTTCATTATGCTTGCTAATTTATTCATCAAGTATTTATTGATTGTTTTATGCAGTACATTCTGCTACAGAATATATAACAGTGCTTTGAAAATCCCTAACAGCTGGTGGTAGGGAAGTTTTCTGATTTGCTGAGTACATTATGAGTGTATTTCAAAAAGTTCTGGGAAAGTGGAGTTAAAAGATAATATGAATCTTTCCATGAACAGAGACCCTTTGTATATATGAAATAATTCAGACTTTTTAGGTGCACCTTAGTTGATACTGGAGCAAGATATTCCCCATGTTGTCTACATGTCATGTGTCAGATAGTCTGTGCTTTTAAGTTTTTGCTCAAAAAACTCACCTGTTGTTCTGTTCCATCTGACAGTCTGGATTAATTATTTGTAAAATTCGTTTTTGTCCTCTGCAGAGACTCACAGCCAATACCGGAAGCAAACAACGCAGTCGCCTTTCCGTTACCGCCCAGTACCTTTGTGATGTTCAGCACATCTTTACAATTCCAGGCCGAGCTTTTATCCCCAAACCAGAGGTAAGTTTCTGCTTTTGTTTAATATATCAGAATTAGGATTTTAGTTGTAATTTTTGTTCCTTGAGAAAAGAAATCAAATTTTTTTTGTGATTTCTGATAGAGACTTCTGACTAAAGCTACATCAAATATTATTTATTTAGGGCCGGCCCGGTGGCGCACTGCGCTAGTGCGCCGCTTGGGAAGCGCGGAGGTGCTCCCGCCGAGGGTTCGGATCCCACATACAGACCGGTTCCCGCTCACTGGCTGAGCGAGGCGCGGGGGCGACACCGAGGGTTGCGATCCCGTTGCCGGTCCCGGCCCGGTACGGGGGCAACACTGAGGGTTGCAATCCGTTGCCAGACACGGAAAAAAGACAAAAATATATATATATATATTATTTATTTATCGTGATTTTTTTTAACACTTTTTTTGGAGCCCTTATTTTGGTAGTGTTATTTGTGATAAATCGTCTGTGGAAAAATAGTTGGTTATTAAACTAGGCTTTGACTATTAAATGCTAGTTATATGAGTAAGTGCTAATTACAGAAACAGAGGTTCTCTGCCAAAAATAAAAATTCCAAAGCTGGTGTCTATTTTAGCAGAACCACTGCTTGGTGAGTTACTACTGTAGGACAGGTACTCTAGAAACTCCTCTTTCTTCACTGAGTGTACATCGAGCACCTACTGCTTGAACTGCCCTAGGCTGGGCATCAAAGGGGAGCAGCAGGATCCGAGCAGATATGGAGTCTGCCTGCAGGGCATTCACGTCCTGGTGAGGAATAGAAATATCTTCTTGATTACCAAAACTCTCAAATATAAAATCTTGCAAAGTTTCCCTCACTTTATTTGACCTTCGTAAATAAAAGTAGGTAGCATGAAAAAATTGTATTATTTGGTTTATAGATTTAGGTTAAGAATGGAGACCTCAACCAATAGTATTACATGTACTTGTATATCTTGACACATGACCTGCGAAGTCCCCACATTCTTTGCTACCACCTTAACACTTCCTCTGCCATTTTTGTCCACCACAGTGAGCTAAGCTTTTTAATGGGAATTCAGTCCATCTTCCACTTAACAGACTTAATTGTCAGCTTTTTCTAAATCATGCTCAGAGAACTCACTGTCAGTACCATCTCCCTTCAGCATCTGAAGACTCCAAAGACATTGTAAATGAGTTCTCCCGATATAATTAGATCCACCCTCCACACCGTCCACCGTCTCCTCCTTGCCATTTCCAGTCTGCATAGAATCGGCTGTTATTTTGTTGAAATGGCCCCTTTCCTGTGAGTTTGAAATATTCATTTATCTATTCAGGAAAAAAATATTCCAATGCTACATAAAAATTATTTGTTGAAGTATGTATAGAATATATAAAGTGAAGTTTTAGTATAGGACTGTAGGCTACATAGATGGCATATGAACCCATCACGATTAAGCAAGTGAGAGAATCATATAGGTGTCAAAGCAGTCCTATCATTAATTTACATTAAAATATTCTTTTTGTCAGAGTTCTTTTTAATATGGATTTTGTTTGGGAAATAATATTTTGACCACTCAAAAAGAATATATACTTTAAACAATCATTTAAACTGCTGCTAAAATGATTCCTTTCCTAACTCTTATATGAAATACCTGTGAGTACCTTTTCATTTTAACTGTTCCGTTATTAGCTAATAACATTGTTGCAGAAGAGAATGATGATCTACTAAAACAGGTATAAAATATTTTAGTCTCTACTTCTGGATGCACAGATGAAAATTATTTACTCACATAAAAGATATTCTTTCTACTTCTCAAGTTATTGATGTACAAAGAAATAGTCTTTCTTCCATTTCTCATTGCATTAGGAAATAATAAGCTTAATCAGCAAAGTGTTCAAAACAACAGGGTACAATGTTTCCTTTGCACCTATAGAAAATCCAATTTTTATTTTCTTGTTAAAATATTTGAATTATGTATCATAAGAAAATTTAGCTTATATTTTAAAAGCATTCCTATTCTTTAAAAATTATTTTCACATCCATTAACTAACTGAAAGAGCTCATTTATTAGAAAACGTTTTTGTTAACTTGAATCAAATTTGAGAAAAAAATTACAACTTTTTTTAATCCAAAGTAAGTTTTATCATCCAAAGGCTAATAAATGAGAGATTAAGTGGGATGGGGTAAATCTAAATTGTTGGTGAGATAAGTGAACTTAATCCGGAGAATCTTCTTGCTATAAACAGAAGAGGGGTGTTCTTGGGCATTTTATTCTTATCACTTAGCTTGTACTAAATAATTTAAAAATCCTAGAGGTTTTAGTTTGTTTGGTTTGGTTTTCCTTCAATCTGGTAACATTTACCAATTTCTTTTTTTTAGTCTTGCCTAATCTTAGTTTGCATGTAAAATTGTCAGCTCTTACAAATGTACATAGATAGTTTGCTAAAATGAAAAAAGAACCAGCAGTTCACAATAGGTGGGGACTTAGGATGGTTGGTTTTGGCAACAGCTAAATGGAGCTTTCACACCAAGTGGCTTTAAAACAGAAGTAGGTTACTCTGGTGTTGCCGACCAGATAGCAAAAGTAGGTGACATTCTTGGTTAACACCAGGGCAAGGTTTTTTTTTATACTTGGCAGTTTAGTTCTTTTATAAAAATCCAATTCAGGAGATGTATCAACAAGTTATCTTAAAAAGGAAAAAAAAGAAAGCTGTCAATGAATTGCCTTAATGTAATCGGAACCTCAATTATAAACCTTCAAATAAACATGAAAACAATAATGGAAAAATAAATCTTAAGATATAAGATATAATAGTATATCGTTGTCATTTTAAACTGCCTTTTAGTTTTGAAAGTATTTTACACTCTTTGTAGAGAAAGTTAAACATAATTCTGATTTTTTAAATCTAAAATAAAGACCCAGCAGGCACCCCAAGGCTTTGTTCCACAAGCATTACGCAGTTGTTTACACATAATCCTTCAGGTGGTATGCTAAATTGTTCTCTAGCTGTGTGGTGGAGACATGCCGCTGCTTGGGTGGGTAGAGCCAAGCTTCTGGACTCTTTTTTATACAGGAAGCACAGAAAATCATGCCAGAGATAAACAGCAGCATTGCTGAAATGAATCCAATATAGATAGCCCCTCCAGGTTCGTGTTTGTTGCTTTCTGGAACAGTCAGATCCAGGAAGTTTGCTATGATCTCCTTTGTGTACCACACTGTTGGTATTAAACCAGAGACCCCTGCAGACATGAAACAGACTCCTCCAGCAACAGAAGCATGAGTCTTGGTTTCTCTGTCCCCTCCTAAGCGAGTGCATTTCATTCCTACTGTGGAAGTGCAGATCCCCAGAGCAGACAGAACACATGACAAGACCATGGTGGCCCTCGCAGCCTGCACATGGATGGGGAGGGACAGAATGGAGGATTTCGGGGAGCAGCTGAACAGCCCGGTGCTGTACCATGTGCAGTCCATCCATAGCCCGTGCAGCTGCACGATGGCTGTGATGATGTTGGAGCCCGCCTGCACATTCACTTTCCAATTGGGTAGCAGCGTGGCTGTGAGCACTCCAGAAACCCCAGACAAGGCCAGGATGAAAGCAAGGAACTGGAGACCTGCTGAGGCCATGATGTCACTGTTACCTCTGTGCCCCAAGAAAATCCTGATGCCTAATTATGATGGCTCTCAGTCAGAATCGTAGCTGTTTCTATGCAGTGGAATACCAAATGACGAAGGCTAGGGAAAGAAGACAAAACCAGGATTGAGGGAAAGAGAAAATGAGTACACAAAAAGGCTTCCCTTTAGCATAGGAGCCGAGGCCACACATGAACACTTCCCCTGCCCCCCAGTAGAGGGGAACGCTGCAGCCCGGGCGGTAGGTGGCACCAGGCCTCGGAGACGGACATGCCCCTGCTGCTAGGGGGTGAGTGGTGCTTGGTACATGGCATAAAGAAAGGAGCTGCCCACTTCATCTTTCTAAAACTCAAAATATGCTGAAGCTGTCTATAAAGTGGGGTACGTACCTTGTTAGGAGATGGAGACTTTTCAAATTCTAGCTGTAGGATCTGATAAGGAATTTTAATAGCATTGTAGGCTTTTTAAAATGATCTTGTTTTTAATGAAACTACTCCATAGGTAACAAGGAAAAAATAGCTTAAACCTACCTCTTAAAAATGATTTATAATATATATTAGAAAAGTATTAATATTTAAGAAATGGTTTTAATAAACAAGTCTTTATTAAGCACCCATCATGTGCCAGGCATGTGACCTGGGTGCGTTATTTAAGGAGGAAGGAGAGTGGTGGGAAGAAGTTGAAGTCCCTGGCCTGATTAGCCCTTATGTCTAGTTAATAGCCATTCGCAAAATCCTTACCTATGTTAGCTCTTGTTTTACTTACGGTACCTGGTACTCAAGACTACATCAACTAAGCCACTGTCTTTTGCTTATGAGAATATGAGAGACCCTTTCTAGTTGGGACCAAAATCATTCCCTGACCCAAACGAAGCAGTCTCCTTCAAAGCCAGATATTCTTTATTTTTAGGAGAGAAAAGATAGCACCTGTCTTTTTGTGGCTTAGCTGTGTTTTAAGAAACAAAAAGACTTCCTATTCCATCTTCCTATTCCTGTTTCATCATCTGCTTCATCTGTCACCACTTACTTCCTTCTTTGAGAAAAATATAATGATTGCTGAAATACTGCAGTACTGGCTTTTTTATATTTCTGAATTAATTTTGGATGATATGCTAGAGAAGCTCTGTCATGATTCATACATATTTTACAAAAGGCAGTGTGGGCTCTTGCATCCAAAACACATGGGTGAGTTCTTAGCTTTATATAACCTATCTGTGCCTAGTCTCCTCTTCTGGAAAATGGGGAGGCCTGTAGTACCTGTACCATGGGGTTACAGAAGTTAATACATTTTAAATGCGTAGAGTGATATCTAACCCACAGAAGTACTTGATATCGTATAATTAATTGACTTAGTATTCTTATCATGTAACAACTGATGTTTAAAGATATTTGGATCTTTTTCTTTTTTCTGTTTTTCTTCTTCCTTAGGCTGATACAATTTATTTTCATAGATCTTGTAGCTAAAAGAAATTTCAGGTATAATCTCGAGCATCATTATTTTTTCAGATTAGGATATTCAGACAGGAAATCACCGTGTGCCACACAGTCTGCAGCAGCTGATCTACAGTATCCAGATGTCTCTCGTCGCCTCCTACCTCATTTTATCCTGCATCTGCTCCCCCCTTTACCACAGCACTGCCTGCTGAAATCCTCCTCCCCCTGTGTGTTTCTCATGGGAAGTGGGGGAAATGCTCATCTGCAGGCAAAAAGCACCATTGACTATCTGCTTCACCCATTACCTTTCCCCCAGGAAGAAAAAGGACTAATACATAAGGTACTCTTTGGGCAAATGGTTTAGTTTTAGGTGGCTCACCTAGAAGGGTGATGTCTAGCTTTTGCTGAATATCTGAAGTCATACTAATCCATGCCTATGTTAAAGTACAAACTTTCCATTAGTTATAAACGCTGATTCCCTAAGATGTTAGGTCCTGGACTGTCTGGATTGCGTTGTTCTATTTTTGTTCATAGTCTTAAAATGTAAATCCTACAGTTTTAGAAGATTTCCCTAGGATTTTAAGTTCTTAAGAGTCAGACTTATCTGTAAACATCAGTGTGCGTAAGGATTTGCCTGCTAGATCATACATCATTTCTTTTCTGTTTTCCAAATTTTTTTTTACATCTGAGGCCAAAATAGAACAAAAGTTTGTTTCTAGAAAAAAGATTAAGCACATGTTTACAGTTTTATAATAGCTGTTTTCAAGTTTGGATGTAGGTTTGAGGCTCCAGCCAGCTTGCTAAATTACTGCCTCCCTGAGCGCTTTCATCTTAGGGTTCTTCAAGAGTGGGACTGGTGTTAGCATTCACTAAGGGTATCTGCTTTTTCCTTCTCTCTCTCTCTCTCTCTCTCTCTTTCTTTCTAGTTTGGTTGGTTGATTAATCTTTATTTGTTGATCAGTTTATGCTCAGCTTACCTAATATAGCCCTTTTCTTCCCATTAGCCAATACATTTTATAAACTTTAGTGTAATTCAAACCTGCAGACAGCTTGTTCATCATAATTAACAGCACTGGCAGTGATAAATTACGGACAGCCCAGATCAGCGTAAACAATAAGACATCTCACTTAGTTAGCATAGCACTTACTTGCTGTTGAATATTGGACTTCAAATGCTTCCTTCTGCGTAGAGAACTTATGTAGAAAGCATTTATTCTTCAAAATGAAAGCCACTGTTGCGTTCCTTTTATACAAATATACTGGCATTTTCGCTATATTGCTGCTATGAGGTATTTTTCCCCCTCTCCAGCCACAAGCATAATATAGTTTGTGGCCTTTTCTCTCAAATTTCTATCTCGTAGGGAATAAAGGCATACTTTGTCCGGTGGTTCTGGTGGTGGCAGCAGTGGTAGTGAGAGAAATATTGGGAAAGTAAGCAAAAGCAGTGGGTTTGCGTGGAAAAACTTAGTTTTATGTACAGAACTCTCTCACGGCTCCAAAACACATCACACATAGAACCTAAGAAGGTTCAGTTTATGAACTGAAGGTCTATAGTAGCTTTCATTAAAATGTAAAGTCAGTTTTCTATACAAGATTTATTTATACTAGAAATAATATTTTAAAGCAGATTTACAACTTAAAATTCAAATGAAATAACCCTTGAAGATCTGTCCTTAAGTCTGTAAGCATTCGAGAAGCTTCTCGTTTTCCATACCTTTTGTCCGTAGCCTTCACTGTCTTAAGTCCCTTCCGTCAGTCGTCCTCAGATTAACCTCAGTTAGGTGTGATGTAGAGAGACCTCACACAGGAGGCTCATTTCAGAGATTCTGAATGTTTTTCATAAAGCTTCAACAAGTTAACTCGAAAATAGCAAATAAAGAGCAACATAGAAGTCTGAGAGGTGAAAAGTGCTGACGATGCAAGCAGATAAATACCAGGTTCTCCATCTCATTTTTTGAGCTGTGGGAGAATTAAGAAAGGAGAGGCGGGGAAGGGAGGGAGTTGTTACAGCAGGATTTGTCGAAACCTGAAAGCTAAAAATGCCTTTGTGTCGCTGAGTACAGAGGAAGAATTATCTGGGTGCTCACAAAAAGGCTTTCTTTTCTCTTAATGTTATGTTTAGTCACATAATTATAATTTATTTTTCAGTTTTTATCTATGTTGGAAGATATAGTTTATTATTTCAGGTCCTCAGTTAAATAGAAAAGTATAGTATGAAATATTTTTAACTAGGTTGTGCTTTGCAAATGATAGTTGAGACCGTCTTTTTATTCTGATGCTTGTTGACTGCCTGAAACCAAGATTCACAAATTTGTTAACTTTCAAAATAACCATTCAGAAGAAAAAAATTTTTAAATATATGTTTTTAGTAAAAGAAAAAAAGAAAGGCCAGCCACAGCTTTTGACTAGAATCTTATCAGTAAACCTGCAAGTATTTTTTTTGCGATACCCTGAATTTTCTTGTTATTCCTTCTACTAACAAAGATTTTTGGAGTACACCTATATAAAAAGGCCAGCCACAGCTTTTGACTAGAATCTTATCAGTAAACCTGCAAGTATTTTTTTTGCAATACCCTGAATTTTCTTGTTATTCCTTCTACTAACAAAGATTTTTGGAGTACACCTATATAAATTAAAGACTTAAGAACATGTTGTGAAGAAAGTCCTCCAAAATGATGTAATGAGACCTATCAGGTAAAACCGTGGTCAGATATTGAGGTTCTAGACCATGAGTAAGGGGGCAGATATATTTCACCACCATCCTTTTGGGTTTTCATTTTTTTCACTTGGTAATTTTAATTCTGCAAGCTATAAATTCATACCCATTTTACAGAAAGAAGATAATTTTATGATTAGATTTTATGATCTGGATTTTTCTAGATTTTTTTATAAGTTAGAAATCTAATATCTGTAGATTTGCTTTTTAGCCATAGTATTTTAATTTTGACCTACAGACTTTTTTATTTTATGGAAATATATAAACAGTTCTATGTATAAATACTGGATGAAGTAGAGTTGAATTGCAGATGCTGATAGTAATAGCATTGTTATTATTGCTGTATCAGAAGAAACCCCTCTAGATCCCTTCAGCATCCTGGCTTATTTTGCTCCTTGCTATGGCTGGCCATGCAGACACACCTTTGCTGAGGCTGACCGATGACATGTGGAGGGATCAACCCGCCCCCAACTCTGACCTCCAGCATAATGAAGCTCACAAAAGGATAGATAGGTTAAGCATGCTTTCATCTACACTTGTCTCTTTAAAACATTTTTGATTATTCTTCTGTCTCGATCAGAACAGTTATCCTATAAAATATTAGTTGCTTGCTTTAGAAGAGAAAACTTCTGAAATGGAAGTCACGTTCTTTCATTAACTATAGACCTTTAATTAAGGCAGGATTTCTTACATAAAAAAAGGAGCTGGGAATATAAAGGTGTATATAGAAACGTAACTCATCAACATTATTATCTGCTTCTGATGTGGACATTACAGGGAATTAAATCTTTTAAGTTCATAGACTTCTCTAGATGACCACTTAGTTTAAATCTCTTGCCCTTCCCTCTCCCCTGAGCTCCCAACTTGTGTTTCTATCTGCCGAGCTGGCATCACTGATAGACACCTCAGACCTGTCCTGGCACAGGACTGAACTCCTGACCAGCTC